TATGTTACGCATTTTTTCTATTATTTGCATTTACTGATCTTATGTACCTTTATAAACTACCTACCTTTTTGCTGATGTAAACCCCATTTCGTCCAAAGGTGATGAGTAATGGTGTAAAAGAGAAGGAGGCACCTTAGAAGACGCGTGCTCTGTTGTCGAGAATGTAGGCACGATCGGTGAGCCAGAACGACTATCCACCTCATCATCCTTGCGATCACGGCTCTCAAGATTTCCTAAAACGCCCCACAGGTGTTCCCACTCTCTCGTTACGCCGCTCATCCCGTCGTTATCACCTTCAACCTCTTTCACCACTGTATCATCCATCTTCTCCGTATGCTCCTGGTGCTTCTCAGGCGCAAAACTTGCATCAGCGAATGTCAACGTATACGTATCCCTGCTCATCCAACCCAACGGCTGTCCCAGACGTCGAGGAGGCAGCGGCAACGACGCCAGCTCAGTCGCCGGCTCAGACGCTCTGTTATAGTCGTCACTCTTATTGGACATCTTCTCTAGAGAGGATAAGGATGGTATGCCCGGAACATGACTTTGAGCTTGGTCGGCTGGCTGCGTGAAGGGGTAGGAGAGGAACTTGCACCATGATATTCATCCATCCTACTAGCTCCTTAGGAGGGACGATGTGCTTGGCCACGGTCGGCAGCAGAAGCAGCGGGGGCGAAGGGTCATCGAAGATGGACGAGATACTGGAGTGCGCTGACTGTTTGTATCCTGGGCTAGCAAAGAACCTTGCAGATGCAACGTCACTCGACATTGGCGAGGACGAACGAGTAGTAGTACTCGGTCTCGGTGCAGTTGGATACGGGCGTACATTTGGCACAGGTGTCGGGCTGGCCAGAGGGGAACGCGGAAGCGACGGGCGATCCTCCAGGCCGAGCTTCAAGGGCTAATGACGCCTTCTTACGCACCACCTTCCCGAACCCGGCCACTATCATTCTCATGACTTCTCAAGTATTAATCCATTTGGTACTGAATGTGTCGAGGCTAGACCGGGGTATTGGACAATTAAAATATGCGAACGTCGGAGGGAGCTCCTGGCGATCGTAATTGAAGGATGAGGTGTTATCATCTGCAGATAGCAACGCGTTGCCTGGCACGTTCCAAACGGGCTCTCTGCAATGCTCTGTCCTCCAGCGGGTCCATCTGACATTGATGAAAAATTCGGTTTCATGTTCATAGGGCTTCAAGTCACCAACACTGAGGATCCAAATACGATCGGCGCCACGGTCAACGACAAGGAGAATTTGCTCGTAGATCTTCTCGGTTTAGGTAGTTTGAGATTGACGCGTGAGCAAGTACAAGTGTCAATGACATTGAGGTTAACCGTGATCCAAGTGTAGTCACTGGGGCACCGACAATGTCACCGTTGAAGTAGACTTCAGCTCAGACTCGATGCGTCGCGACGAACATTGCCAAAGTCGTATGTCGGTCCAGCGAAGAGTAGTCGGAGAGAACACTGACTGAATTAGATAAGACGTCAAAACAAAGCCTGGTGAACACCGTATGAGTATGAGTATCCCAGGCATGCCCCATCTGTCGCCCATGGCTTCTCGTCATCGGAGCTCAATAGGCTCCTCATTTTCCTTTGGCCCACAGCATCTGGTGGACTCATATCTCGATGGCAATACAAGCACCATGTCCAACCCCATGGACCCAAATCGGTCCATCCTCCCTGCATCACCAATTGGGTCTTCACCGCGCAGACAGCGAAGGGCGAAAGAGAGCATTGGCCGTCAACATCCTCTTGCGAATGACACAACGGACGTGTTTCAGGAGTCAGAGGATGACGCAGAAGAGGATCCCGAATATGAATGGGGCATGGTAGATCGCATGCGGCTCTGGCGACACGACGCGTTAATGCAGCATTTGTACGAAACAGCCGCGTTCTGGGGTGACAAAATCGTTAGCTGGACAAGTACGTCGCGTCTCTGACTTTCTTTGCTGCTTCTGACTAGATTATTTCCTGGGTAATTTCCAGACGACCCGAATGATGCTTTCTGGCTTGCTCAAACATATTTCATGACACACCAATACGCCCGAGCAGAGCGTCTGCTAACACGGCCTTTTGCCACGGCGCCGTCAAAGCGCCCGTCATCACCAGAACCAGCAAATGGTCACTTGTTCGTGTCTGCAAAGGGCAAGGGGCGCGAACAGGAACATCCTTCGTTACCCACTTCACTACCTCGGCTTCCTATGGGTCCAGGGGCAATGGTGCAGATACCACCGGAGATGCAGGACAGAGTTTCGAGACTAGTGGATATGAGCGTCGCATGTAGATATCTTGCTGCTCAGTGTCTGGTAAGGGTGTTATCTTGTTTCGAGCTAATTTGTGTCTCTCAACGATTCTAGGTTCGCTTAGGGAAGTGGTCGCAGGCAATGGAAATGCTCGGAGAGGCAAACCCTTTTCGAGATTCTGGTATGTCCTGGTCTTCTGGAATCATCCATGAAACTCAGAATATTTCAGGGAAAAGTGGTCCGGCGATACCAAATGTCGATGGAGGTATAAAGGTAACTCTATTTTCTCGTATACTTAGACCTGGATCGTTCACTCAAAGATTGAGTCAAGGTCGAAGCTTCGATGTGCCATCTTCGCGGCATCCTGATGCTTAAACTAAATCGAGGGGAGCAGGCAAAAGAATGTTTTATGGAGGCTTTGGCGCTTGATGTCAAGTGCTATGAATCATTTGAACAATTGGTTACTAGTGAGATGATGACTCCCGATGAAGGTTTGTCGGATTCTAGACTATCGAAGCTTTTTTTTTGTCTGATTAATTCTACATTTCAGAATGGGAGTTCGTCCAAGGATTGGCTTACAAACAGCAGACGCCTCACGATGCAGAATTCGTCAGAATGATATATACCTGTCGACTGCGCAAGTACAAAAATACCGTCGAACATGCGTTGACGCGGCAACGCCTGGTGGAGGAATACAACTTGGGCGATAATCCTGATGTCCTATACAGTTTCGCCGATGCGCTGTATTCGGGATTCAGGTGGGCGGATTGTTTGGTGATTACATCTCGGTATGTTGCTGCCCGTCTTATTTATCTATTCTCTTAGAAGATGTGGCTAATATCTTGCGAAGGGTCCTGGATCTTGTTTCGATACATAATCCAACGATGCCGCTACATATAGCGTGCATGTATCATCTTTCACATATGCATTCGAAACTGTTCATTCTGGCTCATGAGTTGGTCGACCGCGAACCGGAAAATCCAATGAGTTGGTATGCTGTTGGAGTGTGGTATTTAAGTGGTGGTAAATGGACGGAGGCTCGTCAATATTTCAGGTATGGATCTGTTCTTGAGTGCCTACTAAAGCTTTGTTGAACTCTCCTTCGTGAAGCAAAACTTCCCTTATGGATCCACGATTCGGACCTGCATGGATTGCCTTTGCGCATACATTTGCTCTCGAGGGTGAACATGACCACGCAGTCACGGCATACTCTACTTGCGCACGGATGTTTACCGGGTATGCAACTTTCTAGGCTCTCAGTTGGTACTGCCTAACTAACGAAACAATAGTTCACATCTTCCTCTGATGTGTGTCGGGATGGAGAACATTATGCTTTCGAATCACGCTTTGGCTGACGAGGCCCTGAATGCGGCATACACGATGTGCGATGGCGATCCGTTACTTGTGAACGAGATGGGTGTCATGGCGTACAACCACGGAGAGTGAGAGCATTCCGCAGTCCTTTTGCTTCTGTCGTTGATGGGACTATCCTTTAAGCTTCCAACGAGCTGCGGACCTCTTTAACAAGGCGCTTGAACTTGCACAGGTGACGCAGAGCTCGCGGAAGGCGTGGTCAACAACCTACCTCAATCTTGGAACGGCCTATCGGAAGTTAAGGTGTGTTTATAACGCAGTAGAACTTTGAGCCTGGCTGATGATTGCTTGGTGAAAGACGTTTAAAGGAAGCTAAAGAAACATATCAGAAAGTGCTGGAGATCGATTCGCGACACTCGATGGCACTGAGCTTCCTTGGTCTTGTACATCATCTTCTAGGAGAGATGGACAAGGCTATTTTCAAATATCATGAGGTTCGTACTTCGATCGTTTGCGCACGCTGGCCAAACTAATGCACACCGCACACAGGCTCTCAGTATCGACCCTATTAATCCTCTTATTCTGGAGCTTCTGAACATGGCGCTTGAGGCAAACTCCATCAAGGGCCCAGGGACGTTGGACAACACAGAGATGAATAAGACGATGAAGATTCTTAGAGAGAAGTATAACCGTGCGAAGGAAGCTGAGCGGAAAGGGAAGGATAAGGCCCCGCGAGATGTTCCCTTGGACGTTGGAGATAGTGACGAGATGAGTCTGAGTTGATGGGACTGTGTCGTTGAATGAGGTGGTGTAGTTGTTGCGGACAGAGGTTTTTAGAAGCTACTTGTTAATATCAGTAATATTTTCAAAGGATCAGAATAGTTGATATCGGAGGAGGAACGAAGTCAAAATTCAACTGGGAGATTAGGTAAAGAGCAAGTTAGCATGACAGGAAGCGCTTTGTTTCTCTCAAGCCTGGGCAACGCTGTAGTGCGCGGATAACATGGTGAAGAAAAACGGTAGAAAATAAAGGGCCTCAGCGGGAATTGAACCCACGACCTCCTGCATTGTTAAACCCAAAGCAGGAATCATGCTACTAGACCATAAGGCCGGCGAACACTGTTCATCAGATCAAATTGATCACAAGGAACGCAAACACGTGACCGTTCCTTTGCGGATGAGATCGGTGGGCGGCGTTGGCGAGGAAAAAGTTTTTGGGCGCTTGTGTCGGCAAGAGATTTCGATTATCATCGATATCGCGTCGCGGCTAGACCGGAAAAACTTGATGCGCTCTGTGTTCGATTTTTTTCCTCCCTCGAGTTCACGTACTCAGGTTTCTTCCTCTCTCTTTACCCAATCATGCCTGGCTGCGTCGAGTCAGTCATGGTTAACAGCGGAGTCATGCTGACTATGATAGTGCGCCGCGAATACTGGCAGCTGTTAGTCGCGTAACTTGGTTCGTTCGTGACGGCGTTGCTCCTCCTACCCTCACTTGCCCAACCTTTGAGCCTTTCCTCGGAGAAAACGTGTGTAGTCCGACATTGTTCCGTTTACTGTATGCTTATTCCCACCTGCGCATTCAGCTATGTTCTTCGTGCACCACCAGTAGATATTTGCACAGGAGCAGGGTCAGCCATGCCTTCGCTTGACGTCGCCTGAAGCGTTTCACGTGCCTCAACGCCACTTGGCTATCCAAGGTCTGTCTTGGTGAGTCCAATGCTCTTTGATTCTGCTAGATAAATATTGAGAAAACGCTAGACATTATACAGATTTACATGATCGTCAAGATAGAGAGAGGATCAGAGGGATATTCATGGGCTAAGGTAATGATATCGAGTCCATAATGTACACACGCTGACGCAGCGTAGAAAGGAAGTAGGTCATGGAAACCAGGGGAACATGTGATGAAAAAGAGAAACATGGTTTGAGCATAGGGCTTTTGAGGTCAGCATGAATTGTTTTTGGATACTTTTGACGATACTCACAGATAAACGGTCGTAATTGTACTCAAGCAGCAGCTGCCTGCAGACCCATTGCACGAGCACCGGCACCAACACCGCCTTCCCATCCGATGAATCTCTCAGAACTGTCCATGTCCTTTGCTGCACTCGACACGGGATACAATTCGTCATCCGACCATGAGCGCGCGAGTCCCCTAGTGCGGGCCCAGACGGTGACGAACAATATCCGTTTCAGTTTGCGATTGAGGAAGAACCAGTGTGACGACCAGAGGAGGGCGCCTCTGCGTTTCATGCGTATATGGGGGTAGGAGGGGGAACCCTCGTCTGAGAGGTACTCGGGCTCCTTCCGGGGCGCGGGCAGCGGTATTGAGTGTGCCTCGCCGTAGGAGCGTGGGTACGCTTCATCGATATCGTAGTCATCGAATTCGAACGCCCCGTCGTCTGAAGACGAGTCTTCGTCTGCTATTGAGGCGATGTCGTCTTCTTCGTCGGAGAGGTCGTTTGCGTGGGGGTCGGAGTCTATCTCAGGGGCATAGGAGTAGACTTCGCATTCAGAGAGGCCGATGACGTCGTCGATGAGACGGAAGAGGGTGGGATGGGTGCCAGAGACTATTGGCGGGGGCGCAAGGGGGCTGGGCAGGAGTTGCTGGTAGGGCGAGGATGAGGTTGGGACGGAGTTTGGGAAAAAGTCAGGTGATGTGGGGGGGTAGGAGGAGTAAGTGCGGGGTGCAGTCATGCCAGAGCGATGGGGCGCAACGAGAGTGTTGCTGAGCGAGTTAAGCACGCTAGCACCGCTCTGTTCCTTGTTGAAATGCGAAGGGCGGACATCGGAAAAGTCGTAATCAGGAAAGGCGATGTTGAGCGTCGCGATGAGCAAGTACAGCGTCTTGCGTGAAGCATGCTGGTCCATTGGGCCAAACGGCGTCATTTCGCTCTCCTTGTCGAGTGCCAGCCACGACGGAAGGGGAGGAGAATGTGAAACTTCGTCCTGGTACGCAGACTCGAGCGATTTAAACAGTTTCTTGTCGCGCTTCACATTCTTGCAACTGTACGCCTCCATTCGACAATGAACTGAGCATTCTGGTCCGTCGTGAGTCAATGTCTGCGCAAGTCGTGAAAGCGCTGGATTCTCGATGAACTTCATCGTGGTGGGCGGCGGCAACCTTTGTTTGTCACAAACGTGCTAAACAAATCTATTGTCATTGCATTTCTACAAAGTCATCCACCCTGTCATCCAACGGAACAAACGTGTGTCTCCTCTCTTCAACTTTAACCAGTGCTCTCCCTATATACATTTCCTCTTTGGTTACGACCGACTTTTGGTGCCTACAGAAAAGTCAGTTACCAGCACAATGTATAACGACACTGCACTGCACTTTCGAAGGTGCGAAGACATCGCGTTCAAACCCACAACTCGACCACAATGGTTGCATCCCAGACCGTTCATATGGTTAGATTCCAAAGCCTTTATCTTTGCCAACTGTTCTTCATTCTCATACAACTTCCACCGCTGTTCTTTGTCATGACTCTCAGTTGCATGAACCACCTGAGAATATTGAGCCATTGCTGTCCGTGAAAATACACCCACTTACCGCTGCAGCCCACCACATAGCATTCCGCCGTCCCGTATCTGCGCACCCTTGGCACTCCACTCTGCAGTCAAGCGCATCCATCTCTTCTGCAGTCACGGTAAGTGGATCTGCCCCGCACGCTCTGATGACCGCACTCCCGCGTGCAGCTGCTTCTTCATAGTATTCGACCTGAGAACCGACCCAGTTCCACGGACAAGCTGTTGGCATGACGAGTGAATACACGTCCTTCAGGTCACCGTAGTCCGGAGTATTGGCGTCTTTCGATGCATGCTGTGTGATAAGACACTCGTGTTTCAATATTCTCGGATAGTGAATCGGCTCTTTGCACCACTTGCAGCGGAAAAGCGATAACGCTAGGTCAAGCCGAGATCGTTCAGCTGGAAGTAGGGCTTGCAGTTCCTTTGACTTTGCCTCTGTCCATTCTGCACATATTCTGGGGAAATCGTCTTTGTGGAGATCAAAGTCTTCTTTATCCAACTCCGAGTCTGCGTCCCGAGAAAGCAGAATCATCGACCGGAAAGGCTCTATGGTGCAAATATCTGCGAGACTGGGAATAGGAGATCGTCGGGATTGCCTGTCAGCGTAGTCGCTGTAGAAGCTCGAGAGTAGGTTGATGTTATGCTCGAGGCGGGTTCTTCGCTCATCTTGGAGGCGAACAATGCGCATAATTTCTAGACGGGCTACGATTTCGCCGCGAATGTTGTTCCATACTGGGAATATGTGTATAAATCAGAGCCTTGAAGTGACAACAGATAAAGGTTGATTACTCTTGTCCGTCAATGCCTGCGCCTTGTCAGCACCAGGAAAACCGAAGAGTATCGCCCTGCGACGGTAGGGGGTTGGGGCACCACCTTTGATTGTCAGCTCAGGTTCCCAACCTGAACATTTAAGTCTTTAGGGAGCGGCATGTGAAACGAGGATGATGAGACCCACCGTCTTCTACAAGTTTTTCCCATATCCTGTTCAGGGCCCCATGAGGCTCTGTATGGTGTGTACGAATGTAAGAAACAACGTACCGTCTATCCTTTGTAATCTGAGGTCTGTGAGACTCTCTTTGCGCTTTTGTTTCCTGTCATCTACCCAGTTCTCATATTCAAGTGCGTGCTGTAAACAGGTCAATAGATGTCAGACGTTGTACCCATGAACAGCTGACCTCGTGACATTTCGTCCGGAATGCAGTCTGTTTCTTCTTAAATTCTTCCTTCGCTGTCTCATCAGTGAGTGACTCCAAGATGAACCTGACGCTTGCAAGTTCGTCTTGATAGTAAACATAAGTGTGGCAGTTCTCTGTGGTTCCATTCTGCTTAGTTGTTTTGTGAAAGAAAGGAGATGGGCGCACTTGCACGGGGCACTTTCACTTGCCATGACGGGTTCATCTAGACCCACGTGTCTACTGACTTGTATGCAAAACTGCTAACGGTCCTGAAAGCATGCATTAGGTACCAGGAGGTTGTGCAGGTAAATTTTGCCCTTACTTTTCCTCCATGCAAGCAGAGCAAAGTCGTACACGTGCTGTCCAACATACGTATGAAGAGTTGGGCTTGAAACATATCTAGCGACGGGTCTTGGTCGTGGATGTGATAAAGAGATACATGGTAACATACGTGACATGCTGTGCTGAATAGGAGCAAGGCATAAGTAGGATAAGACATGTCCTCAAGCAATCCAGGCGGTGGGTCTTCCATGTTGTCAAAGGACTAAAGAAATACTGAAATGAAGCTATTGGGTAAACAATAAAGGAATACCTACCGCTTTCCACACGGAATTCGCCTGGGGGTTCAACAACACACTTCGGAGAGATTTTTTGGCTCTGCACAGATGGAGAAGGTCTGCTGGCTCGAGATGACTGAAGGTCTCATAGAGAATGTCCAAAGGCATCTCAGTTATTAGTCGCAGCTTTCCACGTGTACCCCTTATCCTTCGTTCATTTGTCTGCGTGCCCGGCGTCGCCGTAATCTTGGTCTTACGACGTTTGGTAGGAGGTAGTGATGGACTAGGAGAGTGGGCATTAGCCTCTGACGCTACCTTGCGTTGAGTCTTCAAGCGCGTGGATTTTCGCAATTCAGGCATTCCAAGGGTTACGGTACACGAAACTTTTGTTCAAGTTGCGTGGTGGTCACTATGTCAAGACTCAAAAGCCAAGCGATCAGGCTAGTGACTCGGTGTTTGCTAATTGATGATGGATCCATAGTACATACAAACGATCTTAAAATGGTCGTCGTTGTCGAGACCTGACCTGAAGAAACACAGGACGAATCGATATTAGTTCTAACTTCTACTTAGAGATTCGAGAAGATATTTCACATTTATTGTTCTGTCTTTCCTCTGGCTTTGAAGAAAGCACAGGAAAGCACATAGGGCCACTGGGCCTTTTAGCTCGAAACTTGCCTTCTGTGAAAGGCCCGCGTGAGCTGCGATGGACGCGGGCGTGTCCTTGCAGCGAGCCGGGGAGCAAACGTCGAATGAAAAGGAAAGATGTGAGAAACGCTGTGGTGGCCCGCAGGTGCAAACAACGAATTCAGTGCTAAGCGACTCCGACGCCACACAGACCTCATTCA